TCCTCTTCCTCAACAATCTCTGCTAGCCTGCCCCACGATTTCTCCAAGACCCTCTGCTAGCCTGCCAATTTTCCTTTTTGCAAATTTGGAAAAATCCTGCTCCCCAAAAAATGGCAGCTTTGCTGGCATCATCAGCGTATCGTCTGCCGATTAGCCTATGTCTCTCCTCTTCTCCCGGTTCGCCCACCCGATCAGTAGCCGGTTTTTCTTTCCGTTTCTTTCCGTTTCTTACCGGGTTTGCTAAATGATGCGCTGCATCATTTTTTCGAGGGCGATCTTTACGATTTACGGTTGATATGTTTTGGCGAAGAACGGTGACTGCATGGCTTTTGAAGCATAATGGAATGACGTGTTTATCGTCACTCGTTACTCCTTATACTCAGCTCTTGCTTCCAGTGTCTTCACACTTTGCTTTTCTATTTTTTTTCATTTTCCCTCGCCGACGGTCATCCTGCCGCATTTTTTCAGCTTTTGAAGCTATCGGAAATTTTGTAGTTTTTGAGAAGCAGTCATAAATGTTTACGGAAAAGCTATCCTGAGCCTAAGCTGAGCCTAAGCCTAAGTTAAGCCTACGCCTAACCTGCTAGCCCTCCAGCTATTAGAATCCGCGAAACCATCCCCGCTTCCCCTCAAATCTCTTATCATGCCCTCCGGGCATCGCCTCTGAAATGCAAATGACTGCTGACCCCGATTAGGTGGGGCGTCTCACGGATTTGTCTCCACCCCGCGGCGGATTATCACTCGAAGCCGCACCCTAATTGCTATAATTCTGATGTGTATTAGTGGGCTGGCTTCCAAAATAGTTTTTGCAAGCCTGCCGTCTCCGCTTCCTCAACAATCTCTGCTAGCCTGTCCTCTCCTCTTCCTCAACAATCTCTGCTAGCCTGCCCTCTCCTCTCTTTCCCTAACAATCTCTGCTAGCCTAGTCCTCTCCTCTCTCCTCAACAACCTCTAGCCTGTCCTCCCTCTTCCTCAACAATCTCTGCTAGCCTGCCCTCTCCTCTTCCTCAACAATCTCTGCTAGCCTGCCCTCTCCTCTTCCTCAACAATCTCTGCTAGCCTGCCTTGCTCTCCCTAGTGATCTCTGCTGCTCTCTCTACTTCACTCCCCATAAATGATCCTATTCTGTGCCCTTTCCCCCGTGTTTCCGGCCGTATCCGATACGGGTTAATTTGGAGAATTAGTGACTCGGTTCGAGGTTGCGCGGGGCTCTTTTTCCGCTTGCCAAAAAATGGCGTGGAACCGCTGGGGAAAGGTGAACAGGAGCCGAACGGAAATCCGGGATACGGTACCCGCGTGGGTGGTGTGGGCTCGCGTGGGTTTAGAAAATTAGCCTCCCAATTCAGTTATTGTTTCGGAACCTCGGCAGGAAAAGGACTGGGCAGGCTAGCAGAGATTGTTGAGGAAGAGGAGAGGGCAGGCTAGCAGAGACCCTTTACACCGATATCGTCTCGTTTGCCTGCCCCCGACAAAATGTCAAGGGTTTCCGCGCGCCGGCGGCCCGCGCGCGGATCCGATTTCGCGCGCCACCCGCGTGACGTTGCCTGTTTTCGGCGTATTCAGGCTCAGAAGAGCCTCTCCTTGAATTTCCCCCTCAATATTGAGAATTTTTTGTCGTGTTTTAGTTCCTTTTTGTTGGGTTTTTTTTATCCAAATTTAACGATTTTTCCCTCATCCCAGCGATTTTCAGACTCACCGAAACAATGCGTTTTTTCCTACTCACAATATTCGTGTTTCTACTGCTCGCCGAGGTGCTCCAGGCATCGCCGCAGTAAGAATTCGAATCCAAAATTTATTCACATTTTTTAGATTCCTAGAGAGTATTTTTGGAAAAACATTTAGTTTTACTGTGTAAATTAGGTTTAAAACCAGTCGAGAATAATTTTTACGTACTTTTTTTAGCTTCAAACTACGTCGTGGTGGCCATCTGGAGCGCGTTCATCGGCAGGCGCTGAGCGACTGGAAGCGGGCACATCACAGGTCGAGAAGGCATCGTCATCGGTGGGTTGTCGTGCGGGTTAAAGTGGCAATTTGCCGCGACGCGATGCGCCACGCAACGCGCCCACAACCTTGTCCATGCCGGCACTTCATAATGCTGAAATTCAGTGGTCGAAATTCCATAATGTCTAAATTTCGGAAAATCATCATTTTTGTCGAAATTTCGGTGTTTATTCGAATCCAAATTTTCAGGCACAAAAGAAGACGTCACGGTCGCGACGAGGCCCAGCGTCGCATCGACCACATCACCGACGAGATTGACGGCTACGTGAGGCCACGTTTCGGACGGAGCGTCGCGTAATTTTCTTGTTTTCAGAAAATTCATTTTTGTGCTGATTGATGCTAGGATTTTCACATTTGTCACTCGATTGTCTTTCATTTATTTGCTCTCTCTCTCTCTCTCTCTCTCTCTCTCTCTCTCTCTCTTTCTTTCTCTCACCCACCTGCCAAATCCCCAAAATTCAGGTACCCCACCTTAAAATCACTTATCCCAGCGATGTGATACTCAACCAAAAATAACTTTTTGTAGCTTTTGAACTTTTTCACGTTTATTACTGTTTGTATATAATGTTTTGATACTTTGAATGTATCATTTAATGCGAATAAAGGCTTTTTTCAAGGAAAACGAGAGGGCAGGCTGGCAGAGATTGTTGAGGAAGAGGAAAGGGCAGAATAGCAGAGATTGTTGAGGAAGAGGAAAGGGCAGACTAGCAGAGATTGTTGAGGAAGAGGAGAGGGCAGGCTAGCAGAGATTGTTGAGAAAACGGGAACTCTAACGAAGAAAAGATTAAAATAATTTATCGTCACAAATGGTTGACAAATATCGATCTGAGGAGCTGCTCGAGCGTGTTGGCGCGCCGCGCGCAAGCGCCTATGCTCTGAAATTTTTTGGTATGTACTTTGTTGTGCTTGTATACGGTGTTGAGAGATCATATAATGTGAGTTGAGCTACTAAGCCGAAGCCCAAGCCTAATCCCAAGCCTGAATCCTTCGGACTCACCACAATCTTGAGCTTCTCCTCGCCGTTCGAGCGCTTCTCGAGCCGGCACTGCGCTTTGTAGAACGAGCACAGATCGCGGTGCGTCCCGCCTTCGGAGTCACAGAAAATTTGCGAGCGGAATGCTGAAACAATGGGAGTTGCGGGGTTGTCTTTTCGTACAGTTGGTTCTTTAGAGGTCTATCAGATTACGCGACAAAATGTGGCTTAGCGTCTGGCGTTAAAGGGGAATTGAAGTCTAACCGATCAGGCTGACTAAATTCGAGACCCACCTGTCGAGCAAAAATATCATCGCAGCACGTACCCAGGTGAGTGATCTCGATGTTCTCCTTCCGCCTGCAATTTTTTCCAGAAGAATCTAGGCCTACGCCAAGCCCAAGCCAAGCCCTAAGCCAAGCCTAAGCCAAGCCTAAGCCAAGCCTAAGCCAAGCCCAAGCCAAGCCTAAGCCAAGCCTAAGCCAAGCCTAAGCCAAGCCTAAGCCCCTAAGCCAAACCTAAGCCAAACCTAAGCCAAGCCTAAACCCAAGCCCAGACCTAAGCCCAGACCTAAGCCAAGCCTAAGGCAAGCCTAAGCAAAAACACACTGCATTTTATGGAAGCACCGATAGTTGAGAAAAGTGCACAAATTTCGCGTGCACGTCTTCCCGTTTGTGTCGCATACCGGCTCCCAGTCGTGGCTGAAAAAACACATGATTTGGGGGAATTTATTGTATTTTTTAAACGCCTATCTGCCATTACTTACTACGAATTTCAAATATTTTAATTTTAATTCCTTGTTTATCCTACCTTATATAATTTGGTCGCGTATCTTTGTGTGTGTGTGTGTGTGTGTGGATGTCACTTTCGGGGCCCGATTTGAGGGCTTTCCCGTGGATAAAATGCCCTAATTTTCCGTCACCCGGGGGAATCGACCCTTCTGTTTTTGATGGCGTTTTCAGAATTTCGCAAAAATACAAGTTTACATAGTTAAAGGCGGTTTTATTGATTTTTGGGGTACCTGAAGGCCAATTTGCATAATGCGAAAAAATACAAACTTCCTCATTTTGGCCAGTTGCACTCGCGCGTGTGGTCGGGGCGGGGGGGTCGCAGGACCCAGGCTATCAGAAAGTCAAACTTTTTCATGCAAAGGCCGCAATCCAGCGCCCAAGGCCCGCGAAGCGGGTTTTGGGCGCTGGTACTCTCTATAATTCTACCTGCATTGTCGAACGCATTCGCATTTTGGT